TCTTTGTACAGTCTGTAAAATTGCAGCCTAGTTTACTCCTAACCATGCATTTAAAACATGATTGCATTATTGTTTTGATGTCAAACAAACATTTCGCAGATGAAAAGGACTGAACCAAGCTTTAAAATCTGAAGGCAGAACAACAATAATTAATGCTTCTATTACTCTGTTTAAACAGTATTTATATTAAGCAGAAGACAGGTAATTAATCCCACTTGAAAGAATATACACTCCTCATCACTCATTTATGAATTCTTCTGGCTTTGAATAAAAGTGCTATCTGAAAGTTAAAATACCTTAACTACAATCACAAGCAAGGTCCTCCAATTCTTTTAGAAGCGATTTCTTAGAGTATATTTTTATTTATTATTTTTTTTAATTAAAGTTTACAGGATCAGGCCTAAAATAGCATTATCTGGTTGAGCACTGAACTGTCATTTATAAAATTGGGTGACGGTTTTTCTATTGTCAGGCATTATAAGAAAATTTTATTTTGAATTCAAATGGTGAACCAGGCTGTGATATTTTTCCAATATATCAATAAAATTCACAATATATTTATTGATTATTCATAAAAATATATGTTCATATTAGTTAAAAGTAACAGATTATTCCTGTTAAGCGACTGCAATGTGTCTTAAATATTTTGTAGTTTCAAATTTGATTTAGTGGACATCATTTCATTGTACTTGTTGCTAGATTATTGTTATACAGAATTTTAATAGATGAATATTAACCCAATAAATGTCACATTACAGATATCCTGTTTTCATAATGCATGGAATGTTTTGACAGGCTGTAATAAGCTACGTATTTGGAAGTTTTAAATTTATTTTTTCTTGCAGATGTGGCTGCAGCACCATTTAAACAAGGGTTTTTCTTGTGAATCATTAATGTTTTAAGGTATTTCTTTTACCTCCCAGAGAAACTATATCTGGGGATTAACAAGATTGTTCACTGGAATTCATGTGGAAGCATAACTGCAGTAGCTGAGAAACGATCATGTTTCCTTTTAGTTCTCAGCAAGAGTAATTGAATGTTGAATATCTTACTAAACGCTGGACTGTGACAGTGTGTTAACACTCCGACTATCTCCTAACAGCAGGGCAATTATTTGCTGAGTGGGATTTTTATAAATCCCCTGGCAGTAGTATGTCCTGATAATTATGATGAAGTGCACTGGTCAGTGTTGATTCAGCAATCCCTTCTCTAGCAAATATTTCATTCACAGCTCTCCTTCATGCTTTTACTTTTATGGCTTTTAGAGATCTCTTACCTCTTCTCTCAGCTTGCTTAGTTTTTTTACAAATTACAGTGGAGAAAAAAAGGATTTTTGAGTTCAGTCCCTATCTTGCTGAAGTCTTTACTCCTTACATGCATTTTGAAGAAGGATTTATATAAGACATTATTAAGAGAGCAGTGTCAGAAAGTAGAGCCTCATTCATGGTCTTATTGTGGCAATTTCTTGCAAAGACCACTTCCGTCTAAGGTATTTTTTTCAAAATTAATTGACTGTTAATAGAAGCATTTATATTCACTATATATATTATTTTAGAATTTTGGAGTTGATATGAAAAGGAAATTAAAACTTATCTTTATTATAGTTCTGTTTAATTACAGAAATTGTACTTTTAATGTGTGAGGATACATTTTCTATTGACTTCATACTTGCAGTTTCTCTTCAACTCATCTTGTTGATTTTTAATTTTGCATGCATGTAATAATTCACAAAGCAGTTGGTACACTGTATCTACTAGGGCATGCATTATTTGGAATAGTGGGTGTAGGTTTAATTACTTAAAGTCAAGGAATAATATATGTTTTAATTCATAAGCAAAATTGCAACATCATTGTTCCCATTTTATTATACCACTCATGATCACTGCTCTTTTCTGAGGAAATATCTAACATAATCAACACTGTTGTGTCTTTTCCTTTCTACTTGTGCCTTCTCTTTTTCTCCACTTTCCTCCTCACACTTTGTTTCTTTTGCTGCATAGTTTTATTTTCAAGGCAAGCTTGTAAATAATTTGTTAAATTCTGGGAAAAGATATCAATTACATTTTTACATTTTTCTCTGTTTCTGGAAATAAAAAGGAGATAGAGAGAAAAAAAAAAAAAAAAAAAAAAAAAAAAAAAAAAAAAAGGCCATTCTGCAGCATACATTAAGTTTACAATTAGAGGTGGAAGTGATACAGAATATTTTAAAAACATACACATTAAATTATTTTTTCTAATTTATTTATTTATTTATTTGTTTGTTTATTTTTATTATGCCATCATTAAGTACAAATGTAAGAAAATATTTGGGAGAAACTAGATGATAGAGTGTTAGAAATGCAAAATCATTCAAAATATTAATGTAATGCTAAGGATGACTGGGTAACAAATGGTACATTTGCCAGTATGCTTGACCTGACACAATTAATATTCCAGGTCATGCTTGGGTTTCCATGATGGAAGGTCTGAGGCCAAAAATTCTAGGGGAAAAATATATCTATTCTATAACTCATTTCTCTCCCTCCTTTTTCTTTTTTTCTTTTTTCTTTTTTTTTCCTCCTCTGACGGGTGAGAACCATAGTCTTATAAAAATAAATAAAAAAATAAATCTGTGCTTTCACACCTCATTTGCCATATTCACCACTGGGCCACCATTCAGCAGAAGAGGCTGATGCAAGGAGGTCAGCAAGAAGCTATTAGCAGAGTCGCCTCCTGAGATTACCTTGGTCTTATTGAGTTGGAAGTTAGCATGACAGTACTGCAAATAACTCAGCTGCAGGTTTTTTAAAAGTAGCATAGATTTCCCCATAGTGTTTGTCACTTTGGAAAATTGTTCCTGGAAATGAAGTCCCAGAAATCTGGCTTTGACAGAGGACTTTCTGAGTTGTGAAGAACATGAGTACAGAAAAATGTCATACTCCCTACAGAAGAGCTACTTTCTGTAACCTATCATAATATTTGGGAGGGTGAAATATAATCTTGTGAACTAAAGGTGGAGAAAATATTGAAATCAAAGTATGAATTAGTATTTCATGATTTTTTTTATATTAAAAGAGTGGTCCTAACTACGGTAATTTTGTAATAGAGAGGATATTATATTAAAGCAGGGAAACGATGAAGTTAAAGCTTTTAACTTATAGTAATTGTTTCAAGAAGATATGAAAATCTATTAAATGCCAAGGGCTTTTATCATTCAGATTCTTACATTTCTGCATACTGCCGTCTCTCCGCAGAAGTTAGAGTGAATAAGGCATTCATCAGTACACAGCACATACACAATGAATTGCAAAAATGACTCTGATTTGCAGAGATATTTTAAAATTAATGGAAGCAATTTTAGCAGAGATTGATCTGAACTGGAAAATAGAATCAAACTCATCCCCTACCAAACTTTCCTAATTTTAAATCTAGGCTTAAAACCTACCCACAAACCTTGGGGATTTTAGAGTAAATTAGTATTAATTTTATCTATCCAGATACGAACTCTACTGATTGCTCTGCTATCTGTCTGTTTGAATATTTGAACACATATAATTAAAATGTAAAGTAATTAACAGGATTGCTTGAAAAATCATTAGTTAAAATGCACTTCATAATTAATTTCGACCCAGATCTTAAGTAGAGTTTCAACAGTAGAAGGCACAACATCTTGTAAAGTGTCCAGCTGGCTTCACAAATGTGCCTCACTAAAAATCCAAATCTGTTTTCATATTTGTCATACCATTTGTATTTTTAACCTGATAATATGTGAAAACAGAGCAATGAAACATTACTCTTACTTACGGCAACTTTTCAGCAATAGTAATCCAAATGACACTGAATCACTGGAATCAGCAGGTTCCCAAACCTATTATGGCTAATTTGGGTGTCATTAAAAGTGCTAAAAGTCAATCCAATTTGTGCACCTTGAGACAGCTGCATTTCACTGTTTGAACACTGTATGAAATACGCATTACTGCCAAACGTTTGAACAAAGAAATGTCAAGAACATGCATAGTATCACAGTATAGATTACAAAATGCAGTTTCAGAAGATGATTAAACTCATATGGCTATTAATACCTCTCTAAATATGAACTATAGAAGCAGTGCCATTTCTTACAGCCCAGAATAGCACATGGACTTTTATTTTGCAGTCACTCATAATCACACAGACTAATTCTGCTTGCCAGGTATTTGAAGCATGGATCTCTGTAATTCAGTTTGATATGCTGATGAGCTGAAGGAACAACCAGTAGTTGTTTGGAATGAGTATGTTTCTGCCACTAATCTCTATTCATGTCCTTTTTACCATCACACAGTTACACTGATAATATAACAATATAGTTTACACAAAGAAGAGAATGTATAACATGGACAAAAATATATTGTCGGGTCCAGAACACTTACAGAATTTGAGCTTATGGCCCTTAGAATTTGCTAAAAATATTTTGAATAAGCTACCATCTTTGATTGTTTTTGTCCAGTAAGTAAGGTTGAAATGAGCTGTATTTAACTTTTTTGAGACAAGAAATTGTGATTTCCCAGTAGGATATGCTAATGAAAAATGCAGTAGAGCTAATTGGGGATTGTCCTTTTAGCTCAAAGATGTTTGCACTTTAGGAGGAGGCTGGAGAAAAGCAAGTTCAGGAACATATACTTTCTTACTTATCTTTCCCTGCATCTCTAAAATGATGTCTTTCTTATTCTGTTTATTCAGTACTTCTTAGCAAATAAATACAATAAAAGAAAAAACCAAAACAAACAAACAAACAAAAACAACTAAACTTTAAAACTACCTTAAGAGCATTAGGAACATTGCAAGTATTCTATTGTACATAGGGTACAATTTCAGGTACATGAAGATCATCTGCGTAATTCTTGCTTCCTTGCATAAAATGAAAGTTACATGCATTAAAAGAGCGGAAACACAGATAATACATTATGTTATCCTATTTAAACATTTTGTTGAAGTGAACTGTAAGTTAGTTGAAGTCAAAAGTAACCTCATCTTCTGTTCAGATTGCAGGCATATACAATTCACCATTCAGAAAATCCCCAGATCCGATGGAACTACTGCTCCGGCAGTCAAAGCCATTGAGCCACAAGCAGCAGCGAGTGAAGAGTCCCTTCACATATGATCTCTATGACTGGCCAACTTGTAAAAGACCTCCAACTTTCCCCACAGGAGAGGCCCTGCCGCCCATTGGCAGACAGAAACCTCAGGTAACATTTTTCAGTATCAAATCTGTCTTAAAGAAAAGTACATGTTATGTAAAAACAAGGAAATGTGATTCTCTAGTCTTTGCTTTGGAGAAAAATGTCATTTCTGAGAGTCAAAGAGATCCGAGTATCATCTTGATTCATCAGATGTAAAATTTTTAGATTCCAAACAGTTATGGTAAATTAAGGGTAATAGGACAAATTTGCAGTTGAAATAACTGCTAACTTTTTTTGACATTATTTTCCATGTGGAGGCTAAAAGTTACTCTTTCAGTATGGAGTAGTTCCTGCTCTTTTGTGTCCACTAGCTGTGTGTCACCTTTAATTACGAAAGTTTCTACACATTGTTCTGCATCAGTCATCATGTTGCTCTGCTCCCTTCCTTAACTGTCATGGTCTCAATTTCATTTTCTGTTCATGTCAACATGTGTCGCAGATTGTTCTTTTTTCCTCTCTTTTAAGTAATGGAGATCTCCAAGATAACGCATCAGAGAAAACGTATGATGGCAAAATAGCAAAACAGTTTTTACAACCTTAGCTAAACGTGCTGGAAATATGTCCAATATACACAGTAGATAAAGCTTTGAGACCTTTATGTGCTTCACTTGATGATAAGTGGATATTTTTTCGAACATACAGCTTTTGCCAATACATGCCTGATACAGTTACTTTTGAGACAGTAGATTTTGTCCTCCATTCTGAAGAACGTTTCAGTTTGCCCAGTCAGCTGACTTTCTTTTTTATGTATCTCACACATAAACTTCATTGCCAACTTCATTTTGAAGGACTGTAATATCTTCAGAACATCTCGTGCATGTTTTGGATGATAGAATCCAAGTTGGAACAGACTCACAAGGACCACTGAGTCCATCTCGTGGCTCCACACAGCACCATCTGAAATCCAAACCCTGTGTCTGAGAATGCTATCCAACGCTCCTTGAACTCCAGAACTGGGGCTGTGCCCACTATCCTGGGCAGCCTGTTACATGCCCACTGCCCTCTGGGGCAGAGTCCTGCCCCTGACTGGGGCTGCCATTCCTCTGACACAGCTTCGTGCTGTTCCCTCAGGCCTTGTCTCTGTCACAGCAGATCTCAGCTCTGTCCCTCTGCTCCCTGTGAGGAGCTGCAGCTGCCATGAAGCCTCCCTTCAGCTCCTCTGCTCTGAGATGAACAAACCTCACATATCTTGCACTCTGGATCCTTCACCATCTTCATAGCCCCCCTTTGGATCCTCTCTAATAGTTTTACGTCTTTCTTCTATCATGGCACTCAGACCTGCACCTAGTGATAGAGGTGAGGCTGCGCAATGCAAAGCAGAGCAGGACAATCCTTCCCCTCACCTGACAGCAGTGCTGGATCTGGAGCACCCTAGGAGTACAGTTGGCCCTTTGGACTTCAGTTCTCACTGCTGGCTCAGGTTCAACTTGCTGTCAACCAGAATCCTCAGCTATCCTTCTGTGGGATTACTTTCCAGCCTGTTATCCCCGAGTCTATACACATCTGTAGACCTGCCCCATCCCAGGTGTAGAATCTGGCACTTGTTTTATTCTGTTAGTGGTTGCCCAGCTCTCCAATTTGTTCTCTTTGCACAACCTCTCTACCCTCAAGGAATTCAACAACTCCTCTCAGTTTAGTGTCATCCACAAACTTAGAATGAATTTAAGTTCTGCAACCAAGTAATTGATGAAAACATTAAAAAGAACTGGCCCTAAAATGGAGTCTTCAGAACCTCATGTTTTTTTCAGAAGGACAATGATTCTAAATAAGACTTTATCAGTAACTTTCACTGAAGCTATCATTTAGTGGAAGAAATTAAGTAACAGCAATGAGCAATTATCAATATATAATACACCTTCGTTGATATTTAACTCCTCTGAGCTGATATGGCTATTTCCAAATACAGTCTTAAGTTTGAGCTACTGCTAGGTTCAAGCTTAGTTTAGACATGCCATCTGTCACAATTTACATGTGGTATATTGGTTGAATTTGCCATGATCGCACAGGCCAACACACACTCAAGAGGTTTTTCTCACCTTTGCATCACATCTAACTTGTCCATAAGAGGACAAGTCAGTATCTGTGATGGGATGTGAAAGCAGAGGTAATTGGGTTAGAGCACAAGGAACAGATGCAGATCTTCCAGAAATAGAGGTGAGTCCCACAGAGGTCCACACTGCTTGTAATAATAAGGATCAACTTCAAATAAATTCTCCACCTTTGTTCTTCCTTCCATTCATCCCCACACTTTAGCTGTTTAAGCTTCTTTGTATAGTGAGCTCATTGACTCACGTTAGACCCAAAGTCTAGTCAAAGCGTGACCCAACTGTTTAGTGATCAGGGAGTTTGAAATTGACTGTGTATTGAAAACCAGATATATATGACATTATAGCCTTATCTTCTGGGACCAAAGGGGCTATGACTATGACTATCCTGCTTGAGCGGGATGTGACTAAATGCATGGTCTCTCAGGGCAGAAAGAAAGATTTTGTGTGGGTAGTAATGACACGGGAGTCATACTTTTTAAATAAAGAGAGAAATCATAGTTTTTACATTGCTAAGTTGCTTTTGCAAAACCACTTTACTGTATGTATCTTACAAGCTTCAGTTTGGGTGTGGAATATTTTATAGATGTTTCTAAGTTCAGATGTACACAGCAGTAGTGCGCAGACAGCCTTCCAGAACAAACCAGAAGAGTCCTGTTTGTTTTCTGCACCTCAAAGAGGGAATTTACTATATAATACTTTAATCCTTTCAGCACCCTGGGATGTACACTGTGGGGCAAATTTTCAAAGCACAGTGCGTGGATTTAGCTGTGCGACTCTTATTGATGTTAATGGGAGTCACACGGCTAAATCCCTGCACAACACTTTGACAATTTAGGGTTGTATTGTCTAAGGAAAGGACGCTGTTTTGAGCTGATGAAACAGCTGGAAATGAAAACCCATCAGAATGCATCATCTTGAAAGTTGTCCAGTGCTACAGTAAGGAATTTAATTACTAGCTATACTTGTGTCCTAGTTCTCTGTGATAACACCTTCTGGCACCGTTCTTCTTTTTTCTGTACATATGCATGTCACATCCAGAGTGAGCCACTTGTTACTCCACTGTTCATTCAGATGTCTAGCAATTGTGTTGCTGATAGGGTTGGATGTATTATATAAGAATTATATTTGCTTAAAAGAACAAAACTTAGATATCTACTAGCATTCTCTTGGAGTAATTGACATTTAGCATTTTATGTGTAAGCTCTCTGATAGTGTATTTTAGCATTTTAATGATGCTTGTATGTTAGTTATAACAGATCTAACATTTTTGTTACTAACTAGAATTACAGCTTGATGGAAGCTCAGATAATTCTAAAATTAGTCCAGTGCTCATTCAGAGGCACTTATAACAGAAAGCACGTTCCCATTTGTAGGGCACTTTTTTCCTTTTTTCCTTTTTTCCATGCTGGTGACTGTCCTGGCACGGAGACAGTAAAGAACATAAGAGGTTGTGTAGATTTTATCACAAGTTTTTGACTTTATGATTAAGTAGTAGGAATGCCTATCTGCTGTAGACAAATCTGTAGCAATAATATTTATGCTATTCAGTAGAGATTCAAAAACATAACATACGGTGTAAGTGTCTTTCAGGGTGAAAATTGCTGGTTCCCTTTTGAAGCAGAATGGCTGAAATGCTTGTAGGCATTGCAGATGTGAAAATATTTTTAAGCAACATTTTTTTCACAGATTACAACAAATTTTGAAGTTCATCTTGTGAAATGGAATAGGCAAATGGATTTTTTAGAGGTCTTGTCATCTTAAATGAATACATTAGTTGCTTATTGCTTGATAAGTTTCTACAAATACGTGACTCAGAGAAATGGAAAAATTTAAAGGGAAGGAGTAGAGTAAACTCAATATTTTGCAATATGCCTCTGTTTCATTAGAGATGACACAGCCTTATTGGAAGGACTTTTTGCATAGTTAAACTCTTTTTATCTTCCTTTCATTAGTATTTGCTGTTTTCTACTAATTTCATTTGAACTGTGAATTGAGAAAGAGTTAAAAGTTCTTAGAAACTGAAGAGAGGGAAAAAAGCTCCCTTGGACATCTGAATTGGCCCTTACACTTGTGAAATATGAGTATTTATTTTATTATGAAGAAGAAATAGAACATTTTGAAAGAATACTTTCCAAAAGCAAATGTATCTGTTCTGATATTACTTGACAAAAGTTTCTTTACTCTTTTCTCTGTATATTCAGCTCTGCAAACATCTTGAGACTGTTCATCATTTTAGTAACTATTTTAAACTTATTTTATATCTCAATCATTTCATTAAGAATTCAAAACTTATTTTATATCTGGATCATTAGTTTATGCATTAGTAGAATATTGTTTACCAGTTTTAATGACCTTTTTTAGTATTGATTATTATCTTACAAGCAATAGCAATTTTCGTTCTGTTTTAAAAGACTGGTAGTCATGCTAAATGAACAATTTCTTTTCATTTTTTTTTTTTTTCTGGTAGAGACTTTAAGAAAATGAAATCAAGAGAACATCTGCAATAAGTTTAAGCAATATGCTTGCTTACTTACTAAGATCTTTAAAAAGATCTCCAAATCACGATGCTGTGTCTTTAAAGAGTAAAGTTCCTGTAAAAATCCATTAAGTACTTTCAAATATAGCAATCCTCCTGTCCAGCTGTGAAAAGTACTAGATGATACTTATTTGCCATTTGTGTTATTTACGGTCCATGACTTTTATGGTAACTGGTTCCTATTATTGGTTTCTATTAATGTAAAACATAAGTGAACATAAATGAGGCGTGAATCATTTCTTTTTATTAGCCCCACAGTCTTCACTCAGTGCTTGCAGTAACTCCAGCTGTGACTTGTTAGTGATAACCTATTTAAAGAAGAATATCTTAAAGAATAAAGACTGTGATTAGGATTCTTTGTCTGCTCATAGTTTCTAAAGGTTTTGCTAGTTCCTGGCAGGATCAGCAATGGTGAAAATAAAATAAAAAATAATTAGTAACACTTCTAAATCCAGAGATTCTACTAAATTGTTCTGAGCATAAGATGGCACTAATTGTACTCTAGGTGAGTTCACAATGGTTAGTACTGAAAGGAATGCATGGTGTACGTCACTTTGACAGTGCAGGAAAGGACTTTCTCCTGCTGTTTATCTCTGCTGCTAAATGGTAGATGCTGGTATGATCGCTTATTAAGCAATGTAACCTGAGGAAAAAAACTCTCTCTCTCTAGACTATGTGTGTGTGTATGCATGTGTATATATTATAGATGTATACGCACACGTTTATGAAATAAGTTGGAGCTTTTAGGATTATTATTCTTTTTGAGACTAGTGAGATGAATGTGGAATTAGACTTAAAAATTGACTATACAGTTACATTATGGTGGTCATTAGTTTGAATTGTATTAGAAGAATTATGTTTTGAGTCATGTATTAAGTTCCTTTCCATATAGCTTTGTAGTAAAAATTGAAAATAGCATGTTCTTTAAGGTGAAACGTGCTTTATCCTATGAAAAGGAAAAGACTTTCTGCTTAAGCAGAATCTAGATGAAACTAAAACTTGTATATCAGATTTTATTTCACCAGTATTTTTTCCAAGAAAAAAAATAAGCTCTCCTAATCAGTTCTAATGTGTTATTTTAAAATAATAAATATTTATTAGAAGCTAAATAAATCTAGGCTGCACATTTCTCATTCTCTCTGTGGGGCTTTAAAGCATGTTATCAACCTTTGTGTTATCTGTAACTCTCTATCAAAATGAACTGCTTTAAGTATTTTGGAAGAAAAGTCTTGCTACACTTCTCAGGCACTCTATGCCCTCTTTCATCAGTGATGTGTCACGAATAAAAGAAGGAAATAAAAGAACTATAGCCCCACAGTAAAACACTTACATTATCCTATACCTTTCAGGGGCCTTTCCGTGATACCGCTGAAGTATTGCGGCAACGCTACAAGCCTTTGGAACCAACACTGCGAGTGGCAGCATCAATCAGTTCACCACTAGAGAAGGCCAGAGAGGAAATGAAAAGGGAGGAATGGAGAAAATGTATACATGACAATGAGTAAGTTCTTTGTTTTTTTTCTTATATTGTTATGAGAATGTTTTCTTTGTTCTGTTGCTTTCGGAAACCTTTCATGCCTGACAAAATGAAATGTCAAACCTGACAGCTTACTAGCAAATATTCTCTGTACGTACTTCTAAATCTTTGTCCTTAGATTATAAACTCTTCAGGGCAGAGACCTTATCTTGTAATTGTGTGACATGTGCCTTCCATCTCTATGAATCAATAGAAGATCTTGCTGTAACAGTACTAAAGAATGCAACAGATGGGAAATAAGCAAACAAATGCAAATTCCTTTTTGCCGTACATACTTTGCCAAGGAACACATACTGTTTCAGTCCTCATTCAGGAATTTTCTGGACTATGGGAAGAGAAATGTTGTTGCATGCCAATGAAACTTGCTTTCCCTTCAAGTAGACTATCAAAACTTATTTGGAAGGAAACAGAACATATGTTGCACATGTTAAACATGATTTTCAAATACTGTAATAACTTTTGAAGCAGTTTGGCTTTCTGAGCCATAGCATTTGTAATAGCATCAGAGAAACCAGCTTGTTTTCCATACAGTCCCAAATACAGACGTCATCTATCCAAAAAGATTAAAGGTTATTGCTAAAATAGTTCCAGCTCCTTTCTTCTTGTGATGGAACACTTTTGTCCAATCATAATAAAACCTATTAATTCACCTGTTCTGACTTTATAGTTAACTAGAAACAAATGATGTTTTGTCAGCTTTTCTGTTGAATTCCTGCTCTTAGCAATCCTTTGATATTTGAATACCAGAATTCTGGACAGAAAGGAATTCAGTTTTCTTGTGAGCAGCCTATGATCCACTGATTCACTAGGATGTGATGCTTTGCTCTCAGCTTCATATTGCACATGTTAGCTTAAGGACAAGAACTTGAGTATGCTAGAATCAAATGTATTTGCACTTTTTAATTTTGAGTGTTAAATATTTTCTCGTATTTTCCCTAATTGAATATTTTAATAGTGATATTAAAAGGAGATTGAGCTTAAAAAAGAAATCTCTGTGTTCTGTTTTATTTTTTCTGTTTGCCAACAAAAATAATTGTTTTCGTTCCTTTTATACCAAACGCAATAGGAAAACTTTAAAACTAAAAGTGTACCTCAGTTTTCTGTTCTTTCCTGTGTTTGTTGTTATTCAGAATGAGAAAAAGCAGCTTAATTTTCTAATCTCAGTTTAGATTTGAACTAAGTTTTTTAAAACTTATTTTTATTTTTAACTTATCTTACTGAAATCTAGAAAACACTGAGTAATGATTTTCTCTCAATTAAGATGTTCTTTTCACTGAGATTTTGATTATGCATTCCAAATGAGGAGGAATTAAGTCCTTCACTTATGGGAACACATCGTCTCCAGTCTTTATTTGATAAGATTCACATAATGACTTTACGTGGTCATTATGTGGCCACTTTCAAGTCTTATCTTGAAATATTTATTTTTCTCATTCCTTTTGCTAAGTGAATCATTAAGACTTTAGACTTATACAGTTCAAATCTGGATGTGCCAACTTTGACAGATATAAATCGATCGACAGTCTTTATTTACCTTATGGGTAAAGAAGCATTTAGTGTCATCCTGAATGCACAGAAGCAGTAATTCTCAGCTTCATGCACACTAAATGTATAGTGGATTATACATTTTCAGGCTGTGATTGTTCCGTTTGTGCTTCAGATTCAACCAACCATGCAAGGGTCACATCTGTAACCTTGAAAAGGTGATGACAGAGCTGCAGGTCATCATCAGGACTAACACTCACTAGTAATGCCGCAGCTGCTGTGTGGTGTGGTGGTCTCCAGGGAGGAGTCAACAAAGGGTTACTCAGATTCTACAGTAATCTTTTTCTCAGCAGTGTCTATTATGAATTGACAAATTTCTTGTCTCTTTCTATGTAATTGTGTACTTTGGGACTGTGTTTCTTCCTGGTAGTGCTTCCTATGTTTATCATTCTTCTATTTTAGAAAATGAGAGAAAGAGCAGAGGAAGTGTGTGGCATTTGTGGAGAAAGTTTGTGCTTGCATGTAAGGAGAAACAGAGTCCTTGATCTGTATTTTTCAAGAACGAATATGAGTGTTTTATAGGTTTTATCTCAGACAATACAGAATTCCCACCATGTTTTGTTTAAAAAAAAACAAACAAACAAGCTCTGAAATCAGCTTATACATTTGTCTCTAAGTGTTCCAAGCTCTGAGAAACTTCTTGCTTCTGATAAATGCAGAAATAATTGAGAAAGCTATGGGAGAGGTTCAGGTAGGCAGCAGCAGTGCAAATGCAAAATAAATGAGTAAATTTTGTGAATGCTTATAGCAACTGCTGGATTTTACAATTTTGTACTGAAAGAGCAACTGGGCAATCTAACCTAATAAGGATGATTCCTTTTTCTTGCGTAATTGAAGCTGTTACTGCCTTATTGTGCTATTTTTCATACAAATGAAGTGATTTCCCCCTCCACTTGGATAGGAATGACAATTGGACTCCTTTGGGATGACCACTTAATAAACTGGTGTCTAGTTTGAGACATCAACTGCCGGATCCAGCATATTTAGATCACTGAGCATGAAAAGTTCTTTACTCAGTCATATGCAGCAGTACACAGGCCTAATTTTCCGGAGAACAAAAACGTAAATTATTTTCATTAATTTTGCCAAAAGCTGTCTCACATAATATGCCTCATGATCCAAAGTATACTATTAAATATCTTTATGAAGTCCACATACAGTAGAATGAATTGCAGTGTGGTGATAGAATAAGGATAAGGCAGCGATAACCAAGGCTGGGGCTTCCTGATTTATTGTTGGCTGCTGGTGTGACATCAGGCAAGTCACCTCGCTGCTGGCTCTCTGTGCTCAGCACTGTACTAGAGGCAGCCACGTCAATCCTGAACACATGGATTCACTTGTGTGCAGCAGAGTGCAATGTTTGCACATCGTGGCTCGCACTTGTTTTCAGCAAGGTGCTTTCTTTTAAAACCAGCATAGGTGCTTCCGTGCTACAATGATATGCTCAAAAGATGTACTTGAAGGTGTCTGTTTCAAAATGTGCACAGCAATAAAGGTAATAAAATATAAGAAAGCAAGTTGCTCTTGTTTGATAAAACTTTAAGATTTAAAAAAAATCTTCTCATTTGTATATTTTTAAGATCTTTTACTGTCTTTCTGACATAGCTGGAGTGAAAATGGCCACTATGTTTTATGTCATGCAGATACAACACGTTTGAAAACTTTGTTCAAATTATGCTTAGTTTTTCACATGCTTTGCAACTTCAGCAATCTGCATATTTTCCGGACTGTTATTGTATTATGATAAACAGGGATTATCATATATTTTCAGATAATGTTTTCTTAACAATTCAACTTCTATTTGTAACTCTTCCATTTATTTTAATTACTAGCACAGTGTGCAACATTTATTAATCAGCAGAGTCTTTTTAAGTTAAACTACTAAATTAGCTAACCCCATTAACACAGAATACTCCAAACAAGCAGTAATAGGAGAGGTAGTTACTGTGCAAATCGTATTATACATGCGGGTGCTCTAGGGCACAGTTAAGCATGATTACCCTCTTTTGATCCAGTATTCCTCTGCTTCTTCCAGCTAATTTCCACTGGAAATTTACAAAGTAGCGCCTTCATTTTTCCATCTTAATTTTTCTAATGAAGTTCTAGTACTTTATAACACTGGGGATGCAGATTAATAAGTCTGTATAATTAAGAAGTTCTGGAATTTGCTACAAAAGAGATCTCTTTTTCTTCCTACAGGAACTAGACAGTCCTTTTCTTCGTCACTTCATCACGTACGGTATTGCAGACACGGGTTAAATAAAGAAAGAGACAAAAGACTCTTAGATTTTCTCCTGTTAGGATAAAAAATGGCAGATAGTTTATTGAAAAATGATCTATATGTATGTAGCACATAACTACAGACAAGATTTGTAAGAATGCATCCAAAATAGGCTTGTCTTGCAAAAATACTGTGCTGATGTTAGATGCACTAAGTAAAATATGCTGCATAAAGACTTTGATTTTTAATGCACACTCATTACGAACTACATAATGGCAGCTCCACTGCCATTGTTTTGCTGTGGAAAACCATTGTTTTTTGCTTTGTACACCAAATGTAAAGATGAAGAGTGTTGGCTTCAGGTAGAAGCTGAATCTGAAAGCTTGAAATTCATTACATGTTTCATTTAAAAAAGCAAACAAAAGAGGTGTAGGGGTGGGGAGGGTTTGTTTGGAGCTAATTGTTCATGGCCATTACAGTCAGAGGAAGCTTCTTTTCATTTGAGTTAGGTCAAGGCAACATGAGGCAGCTTCTCTGAGCAGCCTGTTCCAAGTTCTCAAGTTCTCCAAGTGAAGATTTTGTCCCTAATTTCTGATCCACACCTACCCTCTAGTTTAAAACTGCTACTTCTTGTCCTGTGACAGCATTCTTTGACAAATCCTCCCTCTTGTTTGCACTGCTGCGCAGAAAGCTTACTCTCTTGGATTGCCATAGGCAGTAGAGTCCGTATCTGCTGCTGCTTCTCTCAACTTGGTCAGACTAACTGGACAGCCTCCGATATGTAAGAGCCCTCTTATCTTTCTGTCAAAATAGAGACATTGGAAGAGGAGACAGAGTGGGCAGGGGAAATAATAGGTGAAGAGATGCAGGAAGAAAGAGAATTAGGGAGCAAAATATATGGAAAAGAAGAATTAGATTAAATTAGTGGCAGCCTAGTGATACAGAATAGAATGAATGAAGAGACGGAAAATGCAAGTTTTATTAACAGATATTTAAGCTATCTTTTGAAATGTAAATATATCTCACTAACTACTGTCAAGTCTAGGACTATCTACTCTTTCAAGGCTTCTATGTCTTCTATGTCTTTTTTCTTGCTAATTCAGTCCAACAGATTGTGGTCCTGGAAAATTTGTAACTGGCCTTTGATACCACTGACAGTACCAGCTGTGGTCCTGGTCCTCTCCCAGTTTTTGTTTATATAATACTGCTATTTGTAAAACCCGAGTAGTTTCTCCTTTTGGTTCCCCTTTTTTCATCCTGTCTTGACTGAATTTATTGGTACATCTCATTTAAGCTTTTGCAATGGACAAAATGAGATCATTTTTCCTTTTTTTATTTGCTTCTTCGGAGAAAACTCACCTCTTGTTAAATCACGAAGTTTTAGAAAGGCTCAGCTTATGCTTACTATGCCTTGTGGCATAATATGAAATCAACGTGAAATTGAATTCTTCTTTCATCCTGCTACTTCTGTTTCTGTCATTTTTACCCTTCAAGAACTTCTGAATTTGCACTGAAGTAAGAAAAGCTGAAATCCAGATATGAGAATCCTACTCAAGTGAACTTTTTATGGTATAAACTACTGTGGTCTTAACTTGGGCAGGTCATAATGTTATTATACCACTGTCTGGATTTAATTTTCTTCTCCTTCCATCGCTCTCTTCTATCACATTCAAAGCACAAAGTTGGGGAATAGCTGTGTTAGGTGTATATGTAGAGCTGTAGATCAGAATGCCATTACTGAATTTTATGACAGAGCTATTGCTATTTTACTGTTATTATTGGTTGCAGGGCTATAATGACTTCCATATGACTCATTAATTCGGTTATCTACTAAACACACATACAAAAATGTTTTAATGTTATTTTATTTACTTATTCACATAGAATGATTTTTGCTTGATTTAAACAGGCACTGAATTTGCAAACATCTTTTCTTGTAGCTAGATCCTTGTTCCTGTCAGCATCAGCTCACATAGCTCTGACCTGAAATTTTTACAGTCAAACATTGCAACTTTGTTTCTACCACATTCAAAGATGAAACACTGGTAATCTCCATTCAGGCTATTATTTATATTTATATATATTATTATATTTATATTCCGGCTGCTATTTATGAAAGAATGATATGTAAGTGACATTTAGACTCTAAACATTGCTTATTAATGAGCAAGAAGTGATTATATAGCAAAAAAAAAATAAATAAAAATTACTGCTTCATGCCATCATATCCCATTATATTTTTAATGTTCTTTCATTTCAATTTTAGCGTTCTTTTATTGTTCAGTGTTAAAAAATTCATAGTTGCTTTAAGTTTTGTCTCAACCACAGACATACGTTCTGGGCTGTATGGCACTTACCCCAATCAATGATCTTAGAGAAGATATGCAGTAAAATGTGGAAGATTATATTTGTACTAAGTTGCATGTAGAGTATACAGTTAGTTGTGTACTCACAGTCCTGAAATGTTAAAATGTCTGTATAGATATTTGTTTGGAATCACGGCATACAGAGTTTGATCTGAAAAGAATGCCTCCTATGTTTTGTGATATTCCAATGATGTGACCATCGTTTCCAGTGCATTGAAGCTGATATTCAGCTCTGCACATAGTTCCTATGTCATCTCCTGATTCGTGTGGATGAGCTGATCAAGGCGCTCTTCATTTCATGATGTGGCTGCTGTGCATGGCCATGTGGAACACAGCTTGTCTTTCATGTTACTGTTTCCACTGCTGAAGCACACCACCCATTGCCTCACTGAGCTCACATCCACTGTTTGGTCTCCATAAAAATCCAGCAAGCATCAGTGAATGTCAATGGATGCCACTTCTTCCATGTGGAGGAATTCAATCATACCCCCTTTGTTTGATATGCACTTGCAGGTCAGATGCCATTTTGTCGGATTGCTCCTCTGCTGCCATCTGTCACACGGAAACAAAATGTAATGGAATGTTGGTGGAAAGGTTTAACTTCTACTGTCATACCATCAATATCTGTCTCTGACATTGTGGACCAAGATCATAGGAGACATTATTTTCAGAGCAACCCTAGTGGTTTACCCTGAGTACTGGTCTGACACACACACAAAAAAAAAAAAAAGAAAGAAAAAAAAAAGTTCAAAGTGCAGTCAAGCCGTCCAGATTGGAAATGTTATAGGGAAAGCTAGAATCATTGCTTTTCTTTACTTTATCTTCTACTGTTCTCCATTTTTTTTCCCCATTTTGTGTATAAATTTTACAGATGCAGTATTCATGTTGAATTATGAATGTTATGGCTCAACTAAATTCTATGCATATATAGGCAAATCCCTAAACTGCTAGCCTTGTCTTCTCAGCTATCCAATCCCCTGAGAAAGCCAATTTTCTTTCATGTCTGAACAAAAGAAAAATGTACTATTAAAATGCAATTCAGAAGTGATAAAAACTGCAAGTGGAGCAGCCGGCTCACAGCACCTTCGATGTATTCTCTGGGACATTGGGGCCGCATTAATTTTTGTGTGCTTGTGATGTCCATCCCATGTGCAAATTAGCATTACAAGTACTATAATCTGTCTTATGTGAGAGTGTCCTTTCCCATGAGTATACACATGCTACTACAGATTTGTATAATTTAGAAGTCTGCTAACTCAGTGTTTTTCTCATGCTAACTTTACATGTGGTACTTGATAGAGTAAATTGCTATAACTAGTAAAATTGCAAAATAGTTTATTTTTTATGAAGTGGAATTTAAAACAACTACAAAAAAAAAAAAAAAAAAAAAAAAAAAAAAAAAAAAAAAGCCCACCCAAACAGTTGCTGATGGATTATTTAGTGATATGAAATAATTTTCTGAGTTTGTATCAGCCAAGAGACAGAAATAAAGTTTTTATTATCCCTTTCTTCATAAACAAACAAATAAATAAATAAATAGACTATCTAACTCTCTGAGGGACTCTAGATCTGAAATGCTTTCAATTACTGAAAAGGTTTTAATTAACTACACATGTGGCAGTTAAAGCAATGTTTTAAGCTCCTGAAAAAGGTATTTCTAACTTTATAATAATTCTTCTGCACTTGTGAAGGACACTCCTTGCTTTTTTTGCAATACCAGTAATGAAGAGCTTCCTTCATGACATTTTCCGTTCTATGAAAATGTAACTGTTTGCTTTCTTTCTTGCAAACTAAAATAGAGAGGTGAAACTAAAACAAATTTGTAGGATCTCTTTCAGATCTTTTAGAAATGAAGGGTCCTTTACCTTCCTTCACACAGTTTACTGTGGGTCCAACCCTGAACACTTGTCCATGGGATTAGGGATATCTGCAAACCCCTTATATGTCCAGACGGGTAGCTGAAGTTTCACTCTATGGTGGCAGCATGCAAGAAGGGAGTTCATCCTTAGTACGATCAGAGATGAAAGAATCAAGATCCAAGAGATCACTAATCAGGAAATACTGATCACTTCAGAGTAAACCACACAATTCACAAATTTAAAAGAAACCAGTGATTTACCTTGTGTTCTGCCAATATGTGAATATCAATAGTATTATATTTAGTTTTCTTTCTGATAAGCTAGACTACAGTCTATTTTATTCTGTGTAACAGCTGCCAAAGGACTCATTTTCTGTTTTGATATACAGAAGGAGTTCTTTCTGGTGCAATTTAGATTTGGTTTATACTTAAATTGCTGACATCTTGAAGTATTTCCATCCTGATGGAATGATCAGATTGAAGTTGTGTTGTGAGACTTTTGGACTACTTTTAAGACAAATGCAAGGTTCTCTAGAAATGAACCCTCAACTTGTGCATGGTTTGTGCCTTCCACTGGCTTGTGGCATGGACTGCATTGCCTGTATCAACAAGCAAATCACTGCAAATTGAACCTTGTTCATTTCCTCCTTGTCCACATCCATTAGTAGGACAGATACAACCAAAGTAAGAATCTAGTAATACTAGTCATATGCTGTTGAAGCTCTATAGCTCTTTGCTCCAATTTTGGTTTTAAAAAGTAGTTATAAGAAATACTTTAGTAATCTTTTTCACATTACTTGTGAAGGGGAGAGGGTGCTACGTCAAGAAAGTAGAATGGGAAATATTAGGAATGCATGTCAATATCCTGATTTGCTGATATTTGATTTACATAAATCCTGTGGCATTCAGAGTACTATGTAGTAATTCTTAAATACTCTTAAATTTCAGATTTTTGCCATTTTCTTCATATCATAAAAATGAGAAGTATGACCTGTCAATTCATGCATCAGAAAAAATTGGCAAAGAAACTTACGGAATTAAGCATTTCCGAGAAGTACAGCCTAAAAAGTGGATAGCAGGCAAGGTAAGTCACTGCAAAAGTTAAAGAAAGGCTGATTTTTTTTAGAAAGTTATTTTATGCGATAGGACCTAGTCCTGAGATAATCAAATCCAATCTTATTGTAACAAGCATGTTATAAAACCACACTGAGCTATTGTGATATCAAGCTTTCTCAACACTCTGGAGAGTTAAATTTGAGGAAATTCAAAACATCTCACATCAACTACATGAGGATTTAGGAGCATGCTTAAGTACATATCCAATTATATTAGTTTTGTAAAGTTTTGCTGTTTCTGTCTTTCCTCATTTAAGATATATTACATTTATTTACTCTTATATGTGAAGACAAACCTTCAGCAAATTACGGAAAGAAATAGACCAAAACTATTTTGTTGCATATATTCTTCAAAAAATAGCACAAGTGAATGAAAAATTGTTTGTAAGATATTTTCATTAAACTGGCTTCTTAGTCAGAAACATCTCATATATTTCCAGTTTTGTGCTGTAGGAAATAGTATCCTCAGAACTTTCAGTGTTATGTAAACTATTTTCAGTGGTTGAAACCTAATACACTATGAGATTTCAAAAGTCCAAAAAGTTCCATCATTCACCAAGCACGATACAGAAAAAGGAAAACTGAGCAATTTCTTCTTAGCATTTTTCAGATTCTTAGCAGCATTAGGAAACCAAAGGTTCAGAACTTCTGAGTCTTCACAGTAGGTTTGTACAAAAACTAGGAAAGGATTTATTTTTTTTTAATCGTGTCGACTTCTGCAAAACCAAGCACACTCCCTGAAACTATATGAAAAAGGAATACACTGTTATAATATTACAATAGTGTAGAATTAATGAAAAAGGATGTAAGTGAGCCAAAACAGTGTTCTAACATAAATTTGTAGTTGTGTTTGTATTACTATTTTTTCATAGATATCATAATCAAATTATAATGTCCCAGTATGAGAAAGATATGGATTTGGCAGAGCAGTTCTAGTGTAAGACCTCAAAGATGATAAAGGAAGTGGAACATCTTTTATACAAGAAGAGCCTAAGGGAGCTGGAACTCTTCAGTTTGGAGATTATCAGGGGTGTCTCACTTATTTAAAGACCTAGTGGGAAGGAATGGAGATGGAACAAAATTCCTGTCTAGTGAGTCTGTGCTGTGAGGGTGGTCAAACACTAGAAAATGTTGCCCATTGGAGGTTTTGAAATTTCCTTCATTTCACTGAAGATATTCAAAACCCTAAAGGACACAGTCCTGGGCCACCAGCTCTAGCAGGTATTGTTTGAGCAAGGGGATGGAATAGGTGATCTGAAGAGGTCACTTTCAACCTAAGTAGTTCTGAGAGTTTTTAAGATGTGATTACTTACTTCCTTGGTACTAACTTATCTTGTATATATATGCAAAATAAGTTTCAATTAAATTTAGTTTGAGAAGTAGTATTTTTAATCATATTTTTTCTCCAAGTGTTAAGTTTTTTAAAAAAGATCATGGTAACATTTTGATACTTTACTATACAGAAATAGCTAAACTGCATTGCAAATAAAAACATGAAAATCAACATTCAAGTAAAAAAATTAATTTATCTTTCAAAAGCAATTAGTGGAGGATGGACTTGATTGGAGTCCAACTTCATGAGCATGATATATATATGTAAAACAGTATAAAGATTTGTTGGTCATACTTATCTTACAGTGTAAGGATTCTCTCTCTTCCAGTCCTTAGCAGTTCTTAGACCAGCAGTCTTAGTCAGTTCAGCAGACTGAAATGACAATGTCAAAAAATGTGAAAGTTGCTATATTGTATATCCTATAAGATATATATATATATAATTTGTATTATATAAATTACTGAACTTATCTGATATCACTAAACTGACTTTTGATTTGGGTATGTTTCAACCTAAATCTCTGGAGACGTATAGCTGTATGCATTAACTCAACATGACAAACAGCCTTCCAACTCTAATTGTAAATCAAAATTAATCTTCATTTCATCTGTTTAATACAGCCATTTTGGGGGGTTTCCATGAGATGATATTTATGTTAATGCATTATTACAGCCTGAATAACTGATAACTGCCAGGATGTGTATTCCACTTTTTATAGTAGTATCCTAGATAAATCTTTCTTATCATTGCTGATGAGAAAAACTATGGTGTAATTTCTTCCAGGAAGGCAGTTCTGTGGTTAGTGGCTCAATAACCCCTGTGATCTGCTGCAGTATTATTTGATACTAACTGCCTTTTTAAAAACTATATGTTAAAAAGCTTTTCTCTGTGTCCATGTGCATGTCCTGGTTGTATTTCCTTTAGATTTTTCACGTATATATAAGCATTTTAATTCAAGTTACGGAATTAGTATGCAAATTATGTAATTACTTCAGAAGCAAAGTGAGCAACAATGAAAAATAGTGCTTTGTAATACTTCATCTGGAATACTTCCACGTAGCTTTCAAAAAACTTACTATGTTAAGGGAAAACTAGTTCTGTTTTTCAATAAAAAACAAAAAAGCTAAGAAGTGTAAATGATAACGTACTTCTAGTGGGGGATGAGAATGTTCTTATCCAGTTGTATACTACTATAAAATAAAAATGCATGCATACTTTTTAAGTTGAAACAATATATGTCTAAATACCTTGGAACACTTTTGATTTATATGTGAGAAATACCAATATAGAAAAAAAAATACTACCAGTCACTGTGAGTTTAATCTACAGTGATAGGTCCCAAAATAGCTGGACAGTCAGGGGATCAAACACACTAACTATAATCTTTCAGTTGTCAAAACACTCACATATGCTCATATTTACTGAAGCAGAAATGATAGCTTACAGCTTTTAATTGGTATTGGAGTTAGGTTTGTGTATGCATTTTAGAAAACTGACTTAAATGACAGCATTATTTGGAAAATTCGGGACGTGATGTTTGAAGACATTCTTTGCTGAAATATTCTTTCCTCTCATGCCTTATTAGAGGTGAATTACAGTACAACTGCATCGTTGTTTCATTATTTGCAGAGGCATTTTGGCCCTAAACAGAATTTTATTATCTACAAAGCATAAAAATATCCAGTACTGCAAGGAATTAATTTAGAGAACCTAAGCATATTGCACAGAACATAAAGTTGACCTTTACCGTCTGCAGCTTTTGGAATGGAGTGGGATGTGGAACACATCATAGATTTAATGTGGCACAACGCTGTCTGCAGAAACTTGGGTGGGACTGTGACTGCCTGCCCATTGCACCTCATGATTGAATCTGCTGTCACCAGCATCCTGATAATAATGAACATTCAGCTTAACGACCGTGATTATGGTTATCATAATTGATGTGCAAGTGCTGTGTGTGGGGATCATTACAGCTGAACTGTACAGCAGAGAAACATGCCTTAGTTATGGATAATTTTACTTTTATGCATTGATTGGGATAAAATATGCCTTTCAAGTTCAACAGGCCAGAGTAATATAATTTTAGGAAGACTTCTACATGTATGAATTGATGATTATGAGCTTCCTGCAAAAACAGTCATTCTGGCTGTTTGTTTTGAATTGTTTCCTTCCATTAATAATGGGAAATAATTAAATAATTAGATGTTGAGTGGAAATCACTCATAGAGTACTGCCAGCATTAATCAAATATCAAGCTGAAATTTTTCTGATTGTGATGGCCTTGCCTTGCCTAGCCTAGGAAAAACAGCACTTGTATTACACCACAATTTTAGTTATGTTGGAGCGGTAGAAACTGGGCTGGAGTCAACATCACTTTCATTTTCACGCTGTATTGTGTAACCATTAGAGCAGACCATAGTTGTTGGTTATATAAATTGTATAGCTTCCACCTCTGTCACCAGAAGCAGAGCTAAATGAATTAAGCTAAAAGCTTAATTCAGGCAGTGTGGATAAAAGCACAAAGCACAACCAACAGTTTCAGTCAATTTTGCTGGATAGTGATTGCCATCAGCTAAGATTATGTGAAGTTGCAGAAGTATTTCATTCAGTCATATAATGACGTGTAGATGCACTTCAAGCTCGAGTTTATAAAATAAATGTTGGAGCATTAGTATAATGCTAGGTTTTTCATTGATTTACAGTAGATGTAAATTCTTCCTCTTTGTTCAAGAACTGGCAGAAGTGACCTATTTGGGACAACAGAGGTAACAGACCACAGAAGAAAGTCTAACTTGCTTTCTACCATAAGGAAGAGATGGCCTGAAAATCTCAGACCGTTAGAAAGCGAGCAAGACTTTTCTACACACGTGACTTTTCTGTGAAGTCAACCCATTTCCTTTCACATTCTTCTGAGGCCAGTGTGTCCTGTAGTTTCACAGAAAAACTGTCTTTGTAATACTGCAAAAGTACACTCTTTGTGTTTTTCCATCCCTTCCTACACTGAAATTTATTTGAATTTCATTTTAACTCGACTTAATCTGGCAGCAATTATACTTGAGATAATGTATGTGTGGTTTTTTAAACTTAGACTGTAACAATTTTGAAAGGAATTTGCTTGTTATTTTTTTCTTTTTGATTAGAGTAAAAAAGAAAGTACACAAGCATATTTTCTAACACAGAATAGTATCCTTGTGGAACAGGCACCTGTTCTATCAGCCTTATTAAATGTTTAAAAAAATTTAAACACCATAGTTACTAGTATGCTTTGTAAGAGAAGTTTCTAATATACATGAGGTAGGATATTTCCCTAAGCAATGTAAAGCCAACATAATGTGGCAGCTAGAATTGGCTCTATTGTAGGGGAATTATTAGGTGATCTGTAAGAGTTTGCGTTTTACACTACTGATTTCTACATGAGCCATGTCAGGGATAAGGGTTGTTGGAAAACTGTTGCACTCTAGCAGTCGCTGGCCAATGACATGGCTCCTATGTAATTATTACTGCTACTGTAACCTCATAGATCTATTCAGATGCTTCACCTGAACCCTTAGCTTGAGTTATCCTGGTGGATGAAAAACTTTACATGAGCCACCTGTGTGCTCTTGCAGCTAGGAAAGCAAACAGTGTCCTGGGCTC